AATATGTGTCATATGTACTATTTTAGATTCGTTTATGGTAGTTGATTGTGGTGGAGGTACTGTTGATTTAACAACTAGAAAACTTTTAGCCGGTAATAAATTAAGCGAAATAACTGAACGCGAAGGTGACTATTGTGGTGGAAGTTTTGTAGACCAAGAATTTCTCAAATTTCTTGGTAGACAAGTTGGTTCTTCAGCAATCGATCTTGTTAGACAGAATCATTATGGTCAACTTCAGTACATGGTTCAAGCATTTTGTAGAAAAGTTAAACTTCCATTCACAGGAGACATTAAAGATTTCAAGCCTATTGAATTTGATTTGGAGGTAATTTCTTTAACAACTTTAAATAAAAAATATATTTTTTATTATATAAAACATTTTATTTTTATTTATGTTAGGATGTTTGCCCGGTTTTGAAACAATATGTAAAAGGTCAAGCTAAGGAAGATATGGAAGATGCTGAATGGGTTGTGAACATTGAATTTGATGATGTTAAAGCAATGTTCGATCCTGTAGTTGGTAAAATAATTAGATTAATTCATGGACAACTAAATAAAAGTGAAGAGGAATGTTCCGTAATGTTTTTGGTTGGTGGATTTAGTGAATCTAGATATCTACAAAGCCGCATCAGACAGGAATTTAATGGAATTGTTAAAAACATACCAGTTCCTCCCAATCCAATTGTTGCTATTGTTAAAGGCGCTGTCCAATTTGGCTTAAAACAAGAAGTAATTGATGACCGAGTTCTAAAATGGACCTACGGTATGTGATATTATATCATCAATTTTATTTATTGGTTATTAAAATTAATTATTACGTTTCTAGGGACTCGAATTGCAAGAGATTGGACTCCCGATGATCCACCTGAACGAAAAAGCGGCAAACACATCATTGTTTTCGAACGACTGGGTAGAAAGGGTGAGAGAGTTGCCGTGGATCAAAAGGTTCTTCGTATTTTTGCTCCTACCAGTATTATTCAGGAACATGCTTGTTTAGACCTTTACGTAACATCTAAAGATAACGCAGAATACTGTGATGAACCTGATGTCAACTTGCTTGATAATTTTAATTTTCATGTTCCGATAACTGGTGATGACGTGCGCCCAATTTTATATGTTATGAATTTCGGAATGGTAGAAATTCAAACTACTGCAATTAATGTTGCTACCGGCGAAAAATATGAAAAAACATTTGACTTCGATATTTAAAGTGTTTTGACTTGTAGATCCCTCTATTGTTTTTTGTACCTGGGACGATTTGAAGACTAAAATTTGATTTATACTGAATAGCATACATGCTATAGTCTTAAAGAAAGTACCATTGTGTATTGGAGGATAGTAAAAATTGGCAAAGATATATGTGACATATACCTTGGGCTCATCATTAATCTTTGTAAATAATTGTTCGGGTATATCAGTTTTTTGTTTTGTATTTTTAAACAATACCAGATATATAATTTAAGATTCTGTTTATAACTTATTTATTTATAATAAAATTCTTATAAATAAACTTATATACTTTTTAGCATTATCTTTGCAATACATCTTGTAATTTTCAAAATCGTCTTCAGGGATTATTTTATTTGCAATTTTTAATAGAGAAATTCTATTCGGCCCGCGTTAATTAACCTGATTATACCTTCGTAGATGGTGTCTAGCAAATTTAGAATCAAATAAGATAAACTCGAAAATTGGTCATTTCGACACTACCAAACTATAGTGTTTCAATAATTTCTATTCAACTATTCAAAAAGTTAACTCTAAAATTTTACAGTATTTATATTAATGTTACAAGTCATTAAATACAAATTAGCGCATATATATATATTTTTTTTACTGTCATTTTTATTACTAATTTCATAGGTTATGAAGCCTTGATGAATTACTTGATACTAAAACCCCAAAGAGAAAATAAACGAAACGACTTTAACAACATACAGTACTGAGCTTGAACATTCAAGGATTCCTAGTCTATTATATCTAAGAATGTTAGCTCATAATTGTCCGAAGGAAACTACAGATGAAGCAATAGTCACCTTATATTTGTGTGTTAACAAATTCTAGTTAATGTATAAATTTGACACTAGTTAGTTGATCAATAATAGCTAATTAAAATGCTTTCTTCGAAATTTCCATTAAGTTCTGCAAGTAAACATGCCGGGCACAATTGGCATTGTGCCAGGCATTGTTGGCACTATGCCGGACAGAAATACTAGTGTCCAAGGGCCTGCGATTTTTTTTTTACTATGCCTTGAAATTTTCCAGTGCCGGTTCCAGTGCCACAATGTTTTAGCACATGCCAGCCTATACATGTATTATAGGAAAACTGACCAACACAATAGATTTAATAATTTATTACTAGCGAAACCTTGCACTTTGTTTTATTCTGTTTTTCAGTATCACTTTATTAGACACATTTAAAGCTTAATTTTTATAACTATTTAATAGGGATTATAACATCATACGTTAATAGAGAATTAAATGCATTTTGCATCTTGCATGATATAACAGATAATATAATCAAAATAACATAATTCAGCACCAATAAGGCAATACAGTAATAACAAGGATTTAGAAAGCATGAAAGGGTGAAACCCGCGACAGGTTATTGCTGCAGATCTTACTTAGTTAGGGTTAGTGATAGGTTAATACTGTATTTAGATAGTGATCTGCATCAATAACGTAACTACTTTCGCGGGTTTCTCCCTGTCGTATAATATTTATCCGGAATTTTCTATTTATCGAATTTTGCATATACCAACTGTTATCCGGCATTTGAATTTTATAATTTTTATACACGTGAATTACACACGTTATCCAGATTATTTTAAATCCGTACCGGATTTAAAGTATATCTTGACAACGTGTGTAATTCGCGTATATAAAAATTTAAAATTTCAAACGTCGGTCAACGGTTGGAATGCCAAATCTAATAAACCATCCCAATTTAGCGTTCAAATATGAACGCTAAAATAGTTTAGGAAAATAGAAAACTGCAAAAAATTTATTCTAACAAGTCTTATTCTAATTGGCTGCAGAGACTCCCAAAGGATCGAACCACATGCCACATATCATAGCTGTAGTGTAGCATACTCGATGTGACCAAACAGAAGGCACAAACTTACACAAAGGCTATAAAATATTCTATGCGCGACTTTTAACTTTTAAGCCATTATATCTACTTAGCATTGTCCCTAAAATTAGTTTTGTAAAGTTAGTTATGAAGAATTTTCAACCAACTTAAAGATTGTATTATGAAGAAACCTGCAGGTGACAACTGTGAAAGATCTTCATAATTGTTACATGCAAGTTTTCTTTTTAATATATATTAAATTTGGCTATAAAGCTTATATTATAATCTATTTTGTATAGTTGATTTTAGAGTATTATAAAGGAGGTGTTACAAGATAAGTGCTATATAGAAATTAGCATGTAGTGTATTTTTATTTGGGCTTAGAGAATAGAAAAAGTAGTTTAATAATATTTGAAACAATTGTTTAAAAATTGGCCAAAAAAATTTTAAGCGTTCAAATATGAACACTTGATAGTTTAAGTGATAGTATTTCAAATATTAGTAAAGCACTATTGTGCTTTACTAGTATTGAAACACTATTGTACTGTACCATACCATTATTTGCTATATGATTTGGCTGGTCCAATTTTATACATAGAAGGTACACAAAATCAATTAATTAAATAATATACAGCAAATAACTATTAATTATTATTTTAATATATAGTTTAATAAATATCATAGCTGAGATTAAATTTGGCTGATGCTGAATATTATGTAAAAATTTAGGCTAGAAATTACAAATTGCATATTAATCGTGAAATTTAAAACAAATATCTCTTTTATAAAAATCATTTATTTCTCAAAAATCTGCATAAAAACCAAAACTATATATATTAACAAAAGTTTTCTTAAGTGATTTTACTATATTCCTTAAACAGTCTAGCAGGCAAATTTGTCCACTAAAAATTTTTGTTTTTGTAATTTTGTAAATTACTCCAAATTTTATTATGCTTAACCCTCCTATTTCTAAGCTAAAATAAAAATTTAAGATATAATTAGTTAATATCTTGTAAAATTTATAATTTAAGTTTAATATTGTTAAAAATATTTAATTTTTAATTTGACCAATATTAAAATTTTAAAAAATTTTATTAGTAAAATTTTTTATGTTTCTATTTATAAAAATAAGTTTTTACTACTAATTTAAGTTATTATTTTATTTATATAATTCAAAAATTTTACTAATTAAAATTGTTTTTTAAAACTAATTTTATAAACTTCTATTAAGATTATAGGGCTAGGTATTAAAATATATAAAGTTTGTCAAAGAGTAAAAACAAAATTTACTTTTTAAAAAAGTTTTTTTAAAATTTGTAAGGTTTTAGTATATAAAGAACTTCATTTTTTTTTTTATAAATTCAAAAAATATTATTATTTTATAATTTTTATTTTCAAATATTATTTTATAAATTTTTTTAAATATATTAAATTTTGACAAAATTAGATCAAATACTAAAGTTTTAAAATTTTAGCAGCTAAATTTGTCTGCTAAAATTGATGGTTTAAGGAATAACTATCTAAATTCTAATACTAATATAGATAATAATTCTAAACACAAATAAACTTAAAAAATCTTTGTTATTAGTTATGCAAAGTAAAATTTTTGATAGCAAACTTTATACTTAAAGCAGTTATGCATTAGTGTTTATAATATGTTTTGATATAATAGCAAAATTGGCTTAGAAAAGTTTTTGTTTGAATATTAAAAATTGTTTTTATGCAGATTTTGTGTTATAAACAAATTGAATGTCTATTTTAATCTTTTCTAATTAATCTGTAATCTGCAATTTCTGGGCCAACTCATCATATTACATTCAATATCAGCCAAATTTAGTATTAGCAATTATAATAAATTTAGTAAAAATTATTATTTAATATTCTTTGTTATAGTAAATATAGATTTAGTAAAGCTTGTAAATAACTATTTTATCAACAATCTGTATCGATTTAAAACTAGCTACAAATTAGATTAGTTTTATATAAATCAGACCAACTTTGTTATTAGATATGATATATATAAAGATATATAATCAATTACTAAATTATTATACTATAGTATAGTAATAATAACTTTCTTTTACTTGGTTTAATAATTTAATTATCAATATACAAATAAGTAATAAATTAGTTTAATTATAAAATCAAATATATTACTTACTATCAGAAATTTTGTAATTAATAAGTTGATTAGATTGACTTACTAAAATATACAAAGATAGTAACTAACCTAGTTATTTAATCAAAATTTGAATGATTTTAAGCTATAAAATAATGATCAGATCATTAAGGTTATTTAAGTTATTTGTATATAAAGTAATTTTATTGGTTGAATTACTCATATATAAAGTTATTAATCTTTATTACTTTTTTAATCAATAATTATAGCAATATATAAAATTTTATTAAGTAATTAATATTTGTTATAACTGAAGTTTGCATCTGTCTAAAGTTGGTATCTATTTAAAGCAGCTAATTAATGCATGCAGAATAATTTAATTTAGAAGCTAATTTTAGTTGAATGTAACTTTAAACACCTGAAGTTCTAACTTTATTTGGTTATTAACTTAATTCACAATATATTTATGTTTTAAAGTTTTTTAAAATAATAAATTGTATATATTTTAAAATTTTTATAAATTAAATATAGATTATATACAAGCTCAAATAAATACACTCTTCCTAATGATCACTTGTACCAACCTGACACCAAAAGCAAGTTGAAGATTCAAGCCTAGAAGTCGACAACAACTTGAAGTTTTCTCGATACAAACTGTTGTCAACGAAGT